TATTGTGTTTCAAGTGCTGTAAACTCTTGCTAAAACTAAACCTCTCTGTCTGTCTGTCTGTCTGTCTGTCTGTCTGTCTGTCTGTCTGTCTGTCTGTCTGTCTGTCTGTCTGTCTGACTCTCTCCTTCCCTCCCTCTCTCCCTCTCACTTTCCCTCTTCCTCTCCCCCCTATCTCTCCCTCCTTTGGTACCCCATGAACCATGAACCCTCTCTAACCCTATGTCTCCCTCCTTACAGCGCCACCACTTGGCCCAGAGCATGTGCATACTCAACACAGAAGGAAGCAACCTGTTTGAGAACCTCTCCAGCAAGGTAAGCTGATGTAATATGTATCACAATGCTGTGGAATCAGACGCCTATTTTTGGGCATATGGAATTCGTATTATCTTAAATGGTGCTTATTTGTCTTGCTTTCGATGAAAAAGTACCCATCTATCTTCAATAGAAGTCGAGATATTTTGGATTGAAGGAGGTTGAGGTCACCTGGTTTCAGGGGTAAAATTAGAGAGAAAATGGTCGTCAAGGTTTGATGACTTTGTTTTTCAGTAAAAGCCATGCAGCCGTGTGTTTTTAAATGGACATAAAGGTGTTTACCAAAAAATAAAAATTCCTTAAAAATTGCCAAACAGGAAGAAAAATGCCGGGATTTTTTCTTTCAATTTCATTATTTTGAGGAGCGCCTGATTTCACCGCAATGCCTCACATATACTCCGTCATACTTCGTCACTTTACAAAATGGCATATGGTAGTCTTACATTAAGTAGTCGAAATAATCATGATGAAGTGAGGGGGAAAATCTCTAAAAGAGTTCATTACAATATTTGTAGTAGGTGGGTTTTTTTCATGTGTGTGTTTTTAATTTAGAGGTGCTGATTTTTCTTTTACTCTTTAAACCCCGTCGGACGCTGGGAGCATCCAGCTGTAAAAACACTGTTCCCCAACGGACGCTGGGAGCATCCGATACTAGTGACAACTGTTTTGTTTTATTTAATGCTAGTTTTTTCTTGTTTTGCGGAAGATACTAGTGACAGCTGTTTTGTTTTATTTAATGCTAGTTTTTTCTTGTTTTGCGGAAGATACTAGTGAGAACTGTTTTGTTTTATTTAATGCTAGTTTTTTCTTGTTTTGCGGAAGATACTAGTGAGAACTGTTTTGTTTTATTTAATGCTGGTTTTTTCTTGTTTTGCGGAAGATACTAGTGAGAACTGTTTTGTTTTATTTAATGCTAGTTTTTTCTTGTTTTGCGGAAGGTACTAGTGAGAACTGTTTTGTTTTATTTAATGCTAGTTTTTTCTTGTTTTGCGGAAGGTACTAGTGAGAACTGTTTTGTTTTATTTAATGCTAGTTTTTTCTTGTTTTGCGGAAGATACTAGTGAGAGCTGTTTTGTTTTATTTAATGCTAGTTTTTTCTTGTTTTGCGGAAGATACTAGTGAGAGCTGTTTTGTTTTATTTAATGCTAGTTTTTTCTTGTTTTGCGGAACTATTCCTGTTTTAAATTTTTAGTAATGACTAATCCTTTTTTTCTGCCATTTAGATGTTGGAGGCAAGCTTTTGGGGTTATAATGAGATGTAGTGCGCCAGGTTTAGGTGATTGTAGAAAAACTCCAGGAAATGGTGGAAAAAACTCAAGGTTTAAAGAATAAATGTCCTTGCACAGAAGTTGCAAGTCACTAAATCCTTATTTCTTCTGTTTCGCATAAGAAGTATTCTCCCCTGCAGGTGCACTGGTCCAGGTCAGACATTGACATACAAACTGGTGTTGTTATTTTTCCGGAGTAATAATAATTAATAATAATTGCATTTATATAGCGCATATCCATGCTCAAGAGCATGCTCTATGCGCTTTACAACTATTGTTACCTTGCAGACCCTCTGAGAACATTCAGAAACATTCTCGGCTTCTGCGGAAGCATACAGATTTCATACGCTCAAACACTATCAAACTGACACGATCGTTCAGTGTCTATAGCCAGGTACCCATTTCCACCTGGGTTAAGTGAGGAAAATTTGTGCAAAGTACCAGACATTGACAGACAAACTGTTGTTATTTTATTCTAGGAGTACCAGACAGTGCTGGACCTGATGCGTGACATTATCCTGGCCACAGACCTGGCTCATCATCTACGCTCTGTCAAAGAACAGGAAGATTTGGCAGACAGTGAGTACACACACACATACACACACACACACACACACACACACACACACACACACACACACACACACACATGCACGCACGCATATCGCAACCCCAGTGCTTTCTTGTCGTATCTCCATTTTTTTAAATCAGTGAAAATGTGACTTCTTCTGAAGCTCACTTTTTTTAATGAACTGTTTTCACCCTTATTAAAAATGGAGATACAACAAGAAAACACTGAGGTCGCGATATTGTACAGATGGGCACAGGCCGTGTGTGTGTGTTTATGTCTCCCTCAAGTATCTTCATTAAGCATTCTTGTGTGTTTAGATGAGATATGTGAGTTTGTGTCAGCCCTCAGACGCCCTTCGTTGTCCATCATTCAGTGGGTTCCTATGTCTTTGAGAGAGCTCTTCATTATCTCTTTCAGTGTGTACATAAAATGTTTGTGTTTGTATCTGGCTATTGGTGTCCTCCATTGTGCGTCATTCAGTGTGTTCTTTTTATGTCTTTGATTGTTAACTTAACTTTACATCTCTGAGTATGTGTTCTTCATTATGTTTTCCTGTGCATGCATAAAATATTTGCGTGTTTTTGTGTTTCTTGCCACAGTTGTCCTTCATTATGCGTTGCAGTGTGTGTAAACGAGATGTTTGTGTGTTTGTTTTCCCTCAGGTGGGAACTACAACAAGGCAAGTATCCCCAACCGCCAGAGCTTGCTGTGCTTGCTCATGACGGCCTGCGACCTCTCGGACCAGACCAAGAACTGGCACAACACCAAGCACATAGCTGTAAGTGCTGCTGCTTATTCCCCCAGTAAACCCCTAAATGTATGTGGGTGGTCGACAGGTGCTCTGGTGTGGTTTACTCCTTCTTTCCTACAAAACATCTGTCATCTTTTATCTCCTCTCCTCCTTTTCTTTGTATATTCTTCCCTAATCACCCATAATCTTTGGCTCTTGTATGACCTATTGTGTTGCAAGTGCCGTAAAAATCGGGACTAAAATTAAACTGAACCCATGAAAGTCGTTTTATTAGGACATGTAAAATGATATATGTAACATAACTGAAGTTTTGGAATTGTTTGTATTAAATGCCTATAGTGGCTGTACTTTTTGAAGCACATTTCATGAAAACGAATCTTGTAGGAAGAAATGTTGGTTTTTCTATCCTTTAAGAACTGTAAACATTTTGATGATGTTTTGTCATTTCACATTTACTCAAATTTTCAAATACTGATGAGTCTTGATGAAGTTTTGATTTACAGCGAGTTAATGTGAGTATTTTAAGCCCATCCATTGTGATATAAAGAGTACAAGTTCACGGAGTAGTTTATCTTTTCTATTGTTTATGTTTTTCAATACACTACAGTGCAGATACCTGTTACTTGCTGTGCCTTATGAGTGCACATACTTTTTTAACACCCCTCATGTGTGCCATGGTACAGCAAACTGCTTGTATATTATCCGTTCTCACCATTTGACATTTCATGAGGAAATAAGAATTTTTACGCAACAGATTACTTTGAAGAGAATTTTTGCCACTAAGTTCGCATGACAAATCTCAAACTTTTTTTTTCAAGAAAGTGAACCGTAAATAAAGAAATGTGACAATGTACGGTCTGCCATCTACAAATTTAAATCTATCATAGCTGTATGTTGACTATAGCTAACACATCATGTGCATAAGGATGTACTTATCTGATAGCGTTCTTTTTATTAGGATTGAGCAAAAGAAAAAAGTAAAGACTTATCACAGCCGGCAGCCGTATAATGTAACTTGAATTCCATCTGCGGGTGGTTGGTGGGTGCTCTGGTCTGGATTGCTCCTTCTTATCCCTATCAGAGACCTGTCTTCCTTTTTAAAAAAATCTCTCCTCCTTCTCTAGGAAGGACTTCTAATCTTCAGCACTCATACGACCTGATTCTGTTGCAAGTGTAGTAAAACTCTCACCAAAAAAAATGTGGGTGGTTGGCGGGGGCTCAGGTGTGGTTTGCTCCTTCTTTCCTATCAAACGTCCATCGTCCTTATCTCTCCTCCTTGTATTTTTGTGTATGTTTCTCTCTTGTAACACATAATCTGTTCTTCGGCACTTATATGACCTGATTGTGTTGCAAGTGCTGTAAAACTCTTACTAAAACTAAACTTACTAAAAAACCCAATTCTGCCCTTGCACAGTCCCTGGTGTACCAGGAGTTTTTCTCACAAGGCGACCTGGAGAAGGCGCTGGGCAAGAACCCGCTGGAGATGATGGACCGGGAGCGAGCCTGCATACCAGAGCTGCAGATCTCATTCCTGGACAACATCGCAGCGCCCGTCTACAAGTAGGTTTTGTTTTGTTCTGGGTTTTTTGGCTGTTGTTGTTGTCGTCTTCGAGTAGGTTTTGTCTTTTTTTGTTTTCGTCTGCAAGTGTGTTTTGTCTTCCTTTTTTTTAAAAAATCGTTGTCATCTACAAATATATTTTGTCTTTTTTGTCTTTTTTTTTTTGTAGCCGTTGTTGTTGTCTGCAAGTGTGTTTTGTTGGAGGGGGGGTTGTTGTAGTTGTCTACAAGTATGTTTAGTTTTGGGGTTTTTTGTTGCTGCCGTCATCTACAACTATGTTTTGTCTTCTTCTGTTCTTGTTGCTATAGATTAGGAGGACTGGTTGGTTGGGGGGGTGCTATGGTATGGTTTGCTCCTTCTTTTCTATCAAACATCTATCGTCCTTATCCTTCCATCTTTCTTTGTGTTTTTTAACTCTGTTGTAACACCTCTAATCTACGGGACTTAATTGACCTTATACTAATTGTGTTGCAAGTGTTGTAAAACTTTTATTAAAACATAAAACAAACAATCAGGACAACTGATTGCTCTGGAAGGAAATGAGTACTATAATTGTCAAAGTATGCTCCAGAAGAAAAAGATAAGGTAATAGAACTTGAGATAGGAATGCTGGATGGGTGGAAGCTCTGGTGGAATATGTGACCTTCATCTTTGATCTTGAAAGAGTGCAGAGGTGGGAGACGATTTTTAAGTACAGAAGGAGAGGAAAGAGATTACGTCTATGAGAAGCAGGAAGAGGGGGGGAAAGTGCCATAAAACCCTTACTGAAACTAAACTAAACTGATCAAACAATAAAACAATACACAATACTTACACAATAATGATCCTTCAAGTGCAGATTTACTTCATGTTACTTAAACTGAGATTCTTTGTTTGTTTGTTTTTGTTAGTGTTTTTCCGCACTCGCAACTGTAAAAGGTCATATGAGATCACAGGACACATTAAACATTTTAAAACTCAAATTCTACCCCCCCCCACCCCTCCTTAGGATTTTGGTAAAGTTTTTCCCGGAGGCAGAGGTGGTGGCCCGCAATGTAGAGGAGAACCGCAAGCACTGGGTCCACATTGGGCAGCTGCTCAAGCTGCGGCACGGCAACTCCACGCAGGCCATGAGTGTGGAGCAGATCATCTCCATAGAGGATGAGGAAGAGACCACCACCACCACCACGCCCCAGGCCGAGGAGAACAACCAGGTCAACGGACGATGATTTTGAGCTTGACAGACCGCTGTCATCTGTTTGTGATGGTCATGATGTTGAGTGATGAGCGTGTGGAGAGAAAGTGATGAAAATGTCAGGGAGTCTCTCAGAGCAAGGGTCAACTCGCTGGAAATTGCCATTACTAATTCTTATTTGTGTTTTTTTTATGTTTTTGTTTTTTTGATTAGTGGCTTCGAATGTCTCCCATGGAGAGTCATTGCCATGATACAGGCTGCTTTTTTGAGGTTATGAAGGGTTCCGAGCAGTTTTTTTTAGGTGGGTTACATCACTGTTGCCTTGCCAGTCTCCTGTAAATTTTCCTGAACTGCTAAAATGGCAGACACATGTCCAGTTATCTGAGAACACAAAGAGCTTTGGTTTTTTTGCATGTTTTTGCATGAAGAAATATCCAGACTGACAATAAAAAAGATGAATGGGCAAAAAATTTTAAAGAATGATGCGAAGTTTTCTTGTGGCGGCTATTTTTAATTCATGTGTAGTTTTCAGCGAGCTGTGTCTTGTTTTGAGTGGCTATGAAATGCTATGGCTTTGACCAAGCTGTGTCTGAATGAGAGCTCAGGATAGCAACTGATGAGGCTCACTTGTGTATAGATGGAGCTGTCGTGATACTGGAGATTTGTCCTGGTCAAGGGGGAAAAAAATGTACCGGCGAATGGTATATGCTGAACGAGTTGATGTGTAATAGCTGGTACGGATTGCAAAACTTTTGAAGTATGAAATTGTATACACTTTTTAGCCTTTTAAACTATTTTTCAAGAATGCGATGTGTGAGAGTGTGTTGTAAGGTGGCTGATTATGTACTGATGTTCTGACGAATAAGCTTCACAACCTTTTGCTTGGGTCATATGTCTGCTGCTCTTTGGGCCGGGGTAAGAAACACAGGCTACATCATGTCACTGGTGTTCACGCCGCTAAGTAGTAACTTTATAATCACCCATGTTGAAACAGATGCAGTTCTGATCAGCGACGATCATAGACAAAAAAAATTACTGAGTGCTGTGTTGCAAGTTGCGTCTCTGACTAAATGCTTTAGGAATAGTGAATGTGACAAAGAAAATCACATTTGGATGTTTTGGGATGAAAATTTGACTTGTTTAACTCTGAGCTCAGAGGGAGAGTAATTGATGTGCAAACCAAATTTGCTTTAGACGTGATATATGAAGGAAGATATTCTCTTGACTGATCCTGTGATTTAGCAAAACCTGTTAGGTATAATCTTAAACCACTTAGTGATGGCTCTTTTCTTATTGCGAGTAATTTTGTTTTGAAAATGAATTTAATCTTGTTTTGCTTGAAATTATCAAACCTTCCACAATTATGACAGCACTTTGTATTTAATACATTTTTTGTCTATAATTAATTTATGAAACACATTGCCATTTGATAAAGTCATTACTCTTCCAATTTGTTATGTTTGAAACCTTCAATTGTTCATTTTTGTTACAAATTTATTGCTTTGTATTATTAAAAAAAGTAACAATGTGAATTGACAGAATCTGTAAATAGTTGTGGGTTTTTTCGTGTTAACTGTTTGAGTTCCCACCCCCCATTCCATAGCGTTTTTAAGATCATTGAAACTGTTTGCAGGTTTCTCCCTCGTTGGCACAAGTAGTCATTGAGAATACGCACTAACATATTTTCTTATCAGATATTGTCAAGTTTGAAGAGGTTTTTTTCTTCAGTGTTCAGAAATCATCTTGCTTCTTGTTTTTTGTTGTTTTTACATTCAGTCTTTTCAAATGCTCTCAAGAGAGTTGTGCATAAATACTGTTGTGTTGCTGATTTGATTACAGATCCGTCTTGTCCGTTGTAGAGTGTCCAGGCAGTTTAAAGATTTCTTAGACTTACCATCTCCTGCCAGTTGTTGACCTATAACAACATTTTTCTGGAGTCTTTGGGTCCCTGTAAGTGTAAGAGCTTTGCACGCTGCTTCTCTGATGGGACTTCGTAACTGACGATTCTAATTTGACTCAGTAATTTATATGTTCAATTCAAGAACTGTTACGCAAAATCTGTGGACACCAGAATTTGAGAAATTGTTTGCTGCCATTGCAAACATCTGAGCATTCGTTTCTTATTCTTTAGGTATCGTTGGTTCAATGCAAAAAGGGTTTGCAGCAGTTTTTGCACTTAACCAATGATGTTTGTGAGAAAGGAATTTTTAGTCTTCTGTAGGAATGACTGGCTGAAGTCTTTCAGGAAATTTATCTTTTAAGGACTGTTTCTTTCAATTGTTCTAAACAACAGGAAGCCTCATTCTGATCAGTGCAAGTCAAATATAACATTTTGATAAATAAGTAATTATATGATAGTATATATATATTTGCAAAGTAAAGGTATTTGGTTGACAAAACTGTTTGAAAGTTTTTTTAAATATTTAATTGTGTGTCCTACTACATTGGCTGACTGTATTTGAGTGGGATGGAAGGAATGATGTCTGTCACAAGGCATGGCATCCGGAGGTTTCTTTCATATGTCTTTGACTTCAGTTGTCAGCTTCAGCATATTTTGATCTCATTTTTATGATTGACGGTTTGAGAGAGAAATGTCATTTCTTGTAGTTTGTAGATAGTTTTTACAGTATAATATTGTGTAGATGAATACTCAACAAAATCTCATGAAGAATTGTTTTATTGTGATAAGTTGTGTTGCAAGGACAATGTATGCGCTATGGCAAGCATATCACTTGTGTATTCAGAGACCATTGTTAGATAGTCATATTTCTACATGCGACATGGATGATCCGAAAATAGTGTGAATGTGAAATTATTTTCTATCTCTCGTGTGAAACATGAGTGAGTCTGTTTCTTCCCTGTTTGTAAAGACAAAAGAATTTGGGAGCTGTTCCCATCTTAATAAATGGGGAAAATGTGAGATGTTTTAGTAGTGGATGGCCACTATGGAAAAATGATTTAAGTCACATTTTCAGGTAATGGTAAAATCAAATTTTTAAGTTCAAAACGCTCTGGTTTGTTCGTTTTTATTCTAAACACTTTTTTTTTAATGTCTTAGACTCAGGACTGAGCCCATTGTTCATTAAGACAGTTTTTTTGTAATAGTAAACCATGAAAGTAGTGCATGTGTTTTGTAACTTTTACCATTTGTCCATTGTGGTCCTCAGTGTTAGTGTACATGTGCATGGTAAATCCCTGGTTTGCGGGCTGGATTTTATCGAAATAACCACATGGCAATTATTGCTCTGGGGGTTTGGTTCCCACTATGTGAGCCTCTGTAATGAGAAACTAGAAACAGAAGGGTCAACTAAGCTTTCCTGTGGGCTGGTTTGGACACTTGAGGAGATGTGATGATGTGGAGAAAGACCTCGTTGGAAATTTTATCAGTCACACATTCAGTTTAAGAGGAATTTTTTAGAGTAAAACATGAAAGTCACATATGTTTGTACTAAAGCAACTATACAATAGCTTTGAGTTTGTGACTCGGAACATTTTTTCATTTGGTTTTCGGATGAGTCTGGAAAATGTTATGCACGTTTGTGTGATGATCAGGCTAATGTTGTCTATTGTTGGATAAAGTCAACAAAAGATGCTGGACTTTGTCCCTGGTTTCTGTTTCACTGAAGAGAAAAAGAAATAATTTAAATAGGATTCTTTGCAAATCGTCAAACAGGAATACTCTTACTTTTTTTTTAAGAATTACCTGTTTGATCTGACTCAAGATCACTTTTGTTAAAATGCGGAGACACAGGAGAGTTGCAATACTTTTTATACTATTGTGATAGTTATGTAGTTGGCTTCACCAACGAAAACAATCAAGTTCTTATTCAGTTCATGTTGTCTCGCGTGTGTCATGAAATCCAGCTCAATCAATGATTATTATCTGCAAATGGAACATCCACATTTGTGTACCTTGGCCGATTTTTTAAATTTTTTTTGGTTGTCCCGTGAGGGAAGAGAAATGCTGTAACATATTCTTTTTATGATGCTTCTCGTCCGCTCTCGCCAGTCTTGCAAAGACCGCTGTCCTATAGGCCTGTGATATGTGATATTTACTACTGGAGCGTGCTCGTATGTAAGTGTGTGTGTGTGTGCACGCACAGGTTTGAGTGTGTACTATTATTATCGTTGTACTGGGTCTGTGGAGGTTTTGCACAACCTTTTCTGGATGAGAGAGCAGAGTGATTTCTTTGTATTGACTTGTGACTTCTGCTAGTTTCTATTTCTTAGACATTTTTCCTCCCTTTCCCCTCTATGCCCCCCCCCCTCTCTCTCTCTCTCTCTCTCTCTCTCTCTCTCTCTCTCTCTCTCTCTCTCTCTCTCTATCCCCCCCCCCTCCAGTAGATGCTGTATGTGCCATTCAGTGATGCCCAGGCAAGTTGGGACACAAGAAAATCTTGCAAGCTCAATGAATCATGATGTCATATTCATACATAATTTTGCTCACACCATGGAAACTTTGTATAACTTTGCTTACACTATGAAAAGTAAAAGCCACAACCATTTAGACCAGTGTCAAAGGTCAAAACCAGGTTAAAACTTTATGAACGAGAAGTATACGAAGACATTATGAAAGTAACTGAATATTTTTATTTCTCTGTGCTGATGCTCAAACTTTTGCAAGTCTGAAACGGAAGTTTGAGTAGAAGGGAGGGGGTTCTTTTACTACTTTTAGTTTTTTGGTCACAGAAGAGACTAAAATTACAGATTAGATGGTTGTATATATATCTATATACATATATATATATATATATATTTGACAATGACACCAAGCTATACTTTTTTTTTCCCTTTTAGCAGAGGCTGTTACCACATGAGACAAGACTCGGCTGAGTTTTGAACCACTCACCTGTATTTTTAGAAGCTTGTTATAAAAGTTTTAAATGTTACCAAAGATGATCTTTTTAATTGTAAATTTAGGGAATTGAGTTTGTTGATTATGCAGAATGTCAATTTCAAATTATATCTTGGGTTTATTTTTATCCATTGACCACTGAGCAGGGTTATAGATATGTTAAGCCGTCAACTTTTCGCCGACTTTCTTCGTGTAACGTGCCGATATTTTTCTCTATTGCTTTCCATTGCAAAGAACATTTGCTCTTTCTGCTGGGAAAATTTTTTTCCCTTGCCATTAAAGTATGTTGCCACTACAGAAACAAGTTGCTAGTGCTTCTTTGAAAGTTGTGGTTTCATTTAACTCATGTTCCGAAGATATTGATACTTGTGTATGACAGTTTTAAGGTGAGAGTTCAAAGGGCAATGTCGTAGTTCAAAAAGGCAATGTCATAGTTTGAGGATGATATTCAAAGGGGCAATTGGTTGACTGTTCAAAGGGAGAACATGATAGTTTTAAGGGGCAATGTTTAAATTGTTAATGTCAATGTCTCGACAGCTGTTAAAAGGTAACATCAATTCTAAACAATGTATGTCCTATTTTATGACATAGTATAGACATAATAATAATAGACACACTTCTGCAATATTTATGTCTTTTATACTGCACCTTTCAATTAGGGTTGTTGTTGTTTTTTTCCAGTAAGAAAGTATACCAGATTGATCACGACTGTCTTATTTGTTTAGCTGAAGTCTCAAATAGGTCTCATCCTGTGTTGTGACAAATTTGTTGTGAGAACACTTTGTCGTCCTCGTGGTGGATACAGTGAGGCGTTGGTAGCATCATCTGATCAACAGAGGCTCCTCACTTTTTTCCCCAGTTTCAAGCCATGATGCTTTTTTGTATATACATCAAATTTAGCATGTCATAAACTTCTTGACTAAACAGTTATTTGACTTACGTGGCTGAGAATGGCAGTACATTTCCTTTGTGAATTTGAGTTTCTCTGACCTGTCTTTTGTTGTTTTGGTGTCTTAGGCATACTGAGGCTTTGCTTATCCTCACGTGCTTCAAGGTCCATCAACAAATGTGTACAAATTTTACTTCTTCTACTTCAGTCTGCCAAGTTCTTCTTTGGGAGTTGTGTAAAGTTTTGAGCAAAAGGTCTCCTCCAATGCCAAGAAAACTATTGGTTTGAGATTTTACGTCTTTCTATTCAGCAGGTCCTATAATATGGAAGCTAATAAAAGTTATGTATTGTAAAAGAAGAACAAGAAACCAAAGAAGGGGTATTGACTCAATACATTATATTTTTAACAGCACCTTGGACAAAAAAAATATGCGTGACATGTTTTTCACCTGCTTTGCCTATTTTTCATCAGGAAATGTTTTATTGTGTTTTTATTCAGGCATTCCGTCAAGTTTTCACTGCCAATCTTGTTCTCATAATACGTTTGAAAGAATGATATAGTCAGTGGAAGCAAAAGGCTTGTCGGTCTCAATATAGTTATGTTCTTTATTTCTCTGTGGAATTCCCCTCAGAGATAATGGGTTTGTTCATAATTCTGTTCATACCTTTGAATGAGCTCTGAACTTTCAGCCTTTTTTTCCTTTCTTGTATTCTTGTGCCCTCTTTTGTTAGTGTTGAATTTCTCTGTTATTTCAGTCTCCAGTTTGAAAAAAATCCATTTCAATTCAGTTCGACCTGCTCAGTATTTCTTCCCTTATTTAATGTGACTTTCTGTTTACATACTGAAACCTCAATTTGCATTTATTTTGTTATACATATTCAAGTACAAGCTATGTTTTATTACCTTGTATAGTGCATTAGAGTATTTATATATCTGATGTTGAGCTGTGTATATTTCAGTTCAAAGTTCTCCTCACCAAATATTATTAGTTTTGCGTAAATTCTTCTGTTGTATATTACTATTATTATTACCAGATGATTTGTTTTATGAACCTTTTAGTTTGTTCATTCGACTGTAAATTTCCTAACAATGACGATCTGGACTTCCTGCTGTGAGTGTTTAGTGGGTGAGAATAGTGAGATGTGAGCATGTAGTTTGTCTCTATGCAGATTATACAGTTGAATCTGAACGTTGTGCAAATTGTTAAACCACAGGGCTGTTGCAGCAGTACTGGCCCCTATAACACCGCACCTCCAGATGGTGGTTGTGTTGTGGTGACAGAACTGACTTATTATAATCTTTTGTGGATTTCAGGAAGCTTTCCTTGTGGGACAGCTTCACACCCCCCACTCCTCCTCTCCCCAACCTGCCACAGCCCATCCCCTTCTCCAAAACTTATACAAGGACATATTGTCAATAAGCCCGGTCTGTGTGAAGAAAAATAGGAGTATAAATTGTGGGCCCCCTCTTTTTATCTTTTTTACCTCTTGATATCCACCATCTTTCAGTCTCCACTTTAAAAGAAAAGTTGTCCTGGTATGAGCCGCATTTATTGAAATTTATTCTCTCTATTTTAGTACAGCGGAGGACTTTTAAGAAGCTCATTGTAAATAGCCGAGAGAGTATTTGTGCAACACTTACTGAAATCTTAGTTTTCTTTATCATCTTAAATTCACAAAAACAACAGGGCATAATTTCACAACCTATTGTACCAAAAGCATTGGCATGGAATTTGTTACCACAAAAAAATCAAAGTGTTTCAGAAAATAAGGTCTATTTATTAAAAAAAGATGTGAACAAGACAATTACGTAAAAATCTCCTCTTCTTGTACTACCACAGTGTTAGATTTGCACTTGAGCAGCGTGCTTTAAAAGTGTAGATACTGGTCTATGTTTACCCCACCCTCCCCCAGTTTGTAATTCTCTGAACGTTTAGAAAACCATTGCGGTTCTTTTGAATACCATTGCAGTTATACTAAATACCATAACGGTTATACTATTTTAGAAAACCTTTGTAGTTCTACTGTCTAGAAAACCATCGCAGTTCAACTGTTCTTCTAATTACGATACCATTTCGGTTCCACTATTTAGAACTCCATTGTGATTTTACCATTTTCAGTAGAAAGTACAAACTGCCTTTTTTTAAAACATTTTTGTTTCTGTTGTGAAGCTTTTTAAAGCCAATATTGTTTATGAGAAAGCTACTTTCCTGCTCTTGTTCTTACAGATCCATGTTCAGCATACTTTTCCCATGTGTGTTCTGCCACTTGATAGCTAGTAGCTGATGCACAACAGTAGATTCTATAACATGCAGTGTGTGTGTGTTCATGTCCAATGTTTTAAGCAGCACACAAATCTTGACGGAGAAGCTTTCTAGCGTACGATAAATTGATTGGCCAGGCGTAGACCTTGAAAGTCATATTTCCAGCTGTGTATATATATATATATATATATATATACGTTTAACACACCCAACCACTTCCTTGCCCACACTCACCTTTTAGTTGTTTTTTTTCCCCCAATTTTTTTTTCTTTTAAATTCTCTGGTCTTTGCGATGCTAAACAATTTTTTACCATAGTGTTTTGAGATCTGTGTTTTACTAATTTTAAGATATTTTCATTCATGTTCATAAGAGTTTAATCGCATTTCTTTCATATGATCATATTATAATTATATCATGAAATTGTTTACTTTTGACAATTTGTTTAGTTGTCTTTGTTCCATTGTTATGTTTGTTTTGTTTATAAATTCAGTTTCATTAATTAAACTTTTCATTCTTAAAGATGGCAACAGACATTTCTTTGGTTTCTATTTTCTGTTGAATGCCCAAACAGTACATTTTCATCAAGTTTATCGCAAAAAAGTGTACCCCCCCCCCCCCCCCCCCCCCCCAGATATTTTCGAATTTTGATTACCCGGTATATCCTTGGATATTGGAAAGGCGCTTTTTACTTTTTACTTGTTTTAGGAATGGGGGGGGGGGGGGGGGGGGGTCCAGGTGGAAATGTACTTTTACCAATGTACTCCTCTGTTGCCAGGCTGTTGTTGATGGTAAGTCAACACCATAATAGCTATTTCTGGCAAGAAATAGATGAAGATAATAGCAACATTGAAAAGAAACCGACGTCTGCGGTGTATTAGTTACACTCTTGGCAACTCAAAAGACACAAGTTCAATTCTTGCATTGGGTAAATCATGTCAATGACAGTTTGAGTTAAGAGAAGTACATAGACACAATAATTGTCACTAAGTAAGTGCTAGGAAAAAGTAAGAAACAAGACTGAAACAACGGCGGGAAAGAAAAGAGTAGGATCTGCCAGTGGCGCCCCTCCAACCACCTGCTCGATAAAAGTGCGGAAAATAGAAATCAATACATAAAAAGAAGCATGAGGTACAAACCATACTGGATCACCTTCCACTATCCTGCACGTATTCATCAAAGAAGCAATGTCAGACACAGCGAGTACTGAAGGTGAAACACACTTTATTGATGAGCGAGGCGAGGGTAGATAATTTGTAATATATATGTACAAGTGTATTATGTTATGGGATGTGAAGACTTGGAACAGCTGTGTGGGTGAACGACCTCGAGGTGAAGAAGCCGGCGCTATTTACAGTAACGGTCAGCCTTCATCTTCTCCCTCCTGTCCAGCAAGGTCTCATGGAAATCTCCTTCTTTCTTGGCCTTCTTCAGCTGAGTTTTGTCCACTTCACTCACGCGCAGTCTTCGGTCTTGGAAACTTTGGAACTTTTTCCTAGGAAACAAACAGATATTTGATATCAGATCAGTAATTTCTCTGTAAGTATACATGTAGATTTAGACTTTTATTTTTTGTTAATAGTAGAGGGTTTTACGGCGCTCGCAACAGAATAAGGTTATATGAGCGCCAAGGGGTGGGTGTCAACAGAGAAGTGTTTACAGAGAATCAGACTTCTGCTCACCTTTCTAGCTTCAACAGCACAAGGTCTGCTTCGACTATCAAGGCACCCCAAAATAGCAGGTCACAAGAGAGTGACAAACATACAAAAGAAGTAGAGGAAAATGACAATAGTAAGGATCAGGAAAGAAAAAGCAGCAGTTTCCTGTTGTAGATCAGTCACAGTTCCCTGTTGTAGATCAGGCACAGTTATGAGCGTGACATGAGCCCATTGACAATTCTACTATGCTTGAAAGAGAAATGTCCCCCCTTTGGAATGGCCTAAAGACACTTCAGTCAGTGGTACTGCCCCGGGGGGGTGTAGATTTAGATCCTTTCTCATCACTTCTACTTCTACCAGGCAAGTTACATGGTTAGTGAGGCATTTGGATAAAGCATGAGAGACGTGGACTTCAATCCAAACAACGACAATTGTGAACCCAAGCTGGTTAGAAAATTTCTGTTGGGGCTCAACGTCATTACCTATCAGAAATGAGTGTAAATTCTGAGATCCTGCCCCGATTCTGTCCTTAACCCTATCCGTACGCCTTGGGGTTATTTTGTACCCCCGGTGTTGTATTCTTCACATTTTAGAATACTTATAGTACGAAGATCTTTTTGAAACTTTCAGAATTTAAAAAAAAATCTTTTTGACAGACTGCAATGCAAAAGCGTACAGATTGGATTAACCTAGCATCTGCGTTTGTCATGGCCGTGATTATTGGTATTTTTTGGTCCGCGAATCGCGGCAGCGATTTTTGCATTTTTTAACCAAAAAAAAAAACAACTGCCGGGGAATAAAAGAGAAAAAAAAAGCCAGGGAAAAAAAGAAACTGAACCTCTTTACTTTTAGAAAGAAAGATTATTTTCACTCCCTCTTCACTTCGTCTCTTTGTCACTTAGTTGACTCCACGTTGACTTGTTATTTTCATGTAAGATCTTTTATTTTTCCCCTCTTTGTTGGGTTTAATTTGTTGGAGTGTTAATTTTTTTGTCATTGTTCAGATGTGTTGTTTAAAAAATATATACATACTTGTGTTCATATAGCGAAAAGTAATTTAGTTTGATGCTCTCTCTCTCTCTCTCTCTCTCCCTCTCTAATGTCTTATGTTAGAGCGTGTCTCCACCAAAACCGAATATTGACATTGGCAGGCCCCTTGAGTGTTTCCATAATTTACATGTAATATTCTGTACTTTTTCTTGAATTACACACGCTTAGGGTTAAAACGGACAATCTTCGGATAGGTGGACACACGCCCTTATTTGCTAATTTTTGTGGTTGTTTATGTACTGCTCTTTGTGAAACCTTTATTTTTCACGTTTTTACACTCTGTGTGGTTACAAATGATATTCTGGATGCTTAAAACAGAGCACAAGAAATTCTGGTGCTTTAGATTAATTAAGTTACCTCTATCAACATATTGCTATATGTCGTCACAGAGAGTTGAAAGCTGGAAAATTAATGGCAACTTTTATGACAACTTTTGGCATTTTTTGTGTTAACTTTTGGCAACTTTTGGACCAAAAAATGGCAACAAAACGCGATGCTAAATTAAAGAGTAAATTTCATCTTTGGAAAGTGGTGGCACAGAGTTCCCCACGTCGTATGGATACAATAGTAAAACACGAAGTATGGAAAGGGTTAAATGAGAGTACTTTTTTTTCAGTGATGCCAAAATTCTGGATAAATCTGGATTCCTGAACTGTCCAGATTTTGCTCTCCTCAAGCGGATTGTTAAGAAGTTGTTGACATTATAACATTACAACAATCTAGATACGAGATATATAGGACAAAATGATCCATAAATTTTGAGACCCCAAGTACGCTTTCCCACAGGATCTGAAAAGTTTTTTTGTTTATTTTAATAATCAGTTAACGCCTGTTTAGTATCACCACAGTTCAACCGGTGATGACAACATTACTCTGGTTACTCATTGTGAAGCTTAGTTTAGTCTTCAGTTTTAATAAACTTTTCACGGTACTTGCAATACGATTAGGTCATACTCATATAAGTGCAAAAGATTAGAGGTGTTACAAGAGAGTAACAAACACAAAAAAGAAGGAGAGGTAAGGACAATATGGGCTTGATAGGAACGAAGGAGCAAACCACACCAGAGCACCCGCCAACCACCCATTACCGAGAAGCTATCCATTAGACATGTGCCTCTGCCACACACAGGTAGCCACCATATCGTCTACCTTTAGAGGATGGCATCAGCAGAGCTATCAATCATATGTAGTACAGTGGAACTCGGATTCAACGAGGTCGCCGGGCCTGACCTAAAATCTCGTTGAATCCGAGTGTTCGTTTATATATAAAGCAAACACGAGGTTTTGTATAGAGATTATTACAGGCACTGAGCTAGATCTCTAGAAATGTATAAAGAGAAGTCACAAGTAGTGCCTAAAATGCCTGCATATTATGAGCTGTGTAAAAAAAAAAACCGATTCGTTCAAATGCACACGCCTGTGTCATCTTGATTGCTTACCAAAAAGTTGTGTTGCTGTAGCCTAGCATACAGCAACTTTTGATTCCATAGACCAGCCCACAATTAATTCATTACGTAGATCTACGTCAAGACTAGCTTAACATTGTAATAATGATCAGTTGCCAAGGGGAAAAAAGACTGACGCGTTTGTATCTGCGACGTTCAACGCCCGGACCGCTAGTGCCCCCCACCCTCCCCGACAGGCACACACAGCCACACGTGTGCAGGCCACCCATCCTACCCCAACACACACCATAGTAGGCCTAGACACAAGCGCCTGCCAACAACGCATGTGTTGGTATGATAAAGGCTGCTGATTGGTAGTATGTAATCGGTTAAGTAAATATACAAGTAAGGGTTCACGATGCAGGCGCAAAGGGCGGTTTCCGGGAATAGATAAGTTCGTTCTGGGAGAAAAATGAGTGAAGCCACGTCTGCGGGGGCTGTTCACCCTGGAAGCGACCTCATTAAATCCGAGCTCGCAGATTTAAGTGCTCGTTAAATCCGGGTTATTTTTATTGATTTTAAAGAAGAAAAAAAACGGGGAATCTATCTCATCTCGTTGAATCCGAGTTCCACTTCAATCATTTCATTTTTTCTTTTAATTGCAGTTTCTTACTCTGTGGTATGGTTGACTATGCTTGGGAAATATTTTGTCCAACTTCAAACCCCAAATGTTGAAAAAAGCAGGAAAAGATATATAATGTCGGTATGATTCTTTAACGAATGAAAGTTTTCTTCTCTCTCCTGAAAAATGTTGCTTTCTGGGCTTGGTACAGTTGAACAACTTGCAAAACAAAACTTACCAAGAATAACCTAGATGATAACACTCTGATTCTTAACTAACACACAGATCAGCGTCAGTGGTATAATGATAAAACTTTTCATCGCTGCTCACAAGGGTTTCGGTTCTTGCGATTTGAGAGTGAGGAAGTCTTGTTCGTCAAGTGTATCAGTTTTTCTGCAGGATACTTGTGTCCAGCACAGCCTGGGAATGCCCTGACAGACAGAACCCATGCAGCCTGCTTCCTAAATTATCTCAGTTGTGACTACAGGGGCGTTTACCTCTGAAACCAGGCAACTCCTACCTCATTCAACTGCAAATATCTCCATTTCTATTCAAGAAAGATGACTAGGCCTATTTTTTTCAACAAAAGCAAGACAAATGAACAAGGCTTACGATGATACCAATAACTCCACATGCCCAAAAATTGACGAGCACCTGATTCCAACACGTCGTAAAACATTTGCACTCAACTTACACATAGTTAATCTCTGAGGACTTGAGTGATCCCCGCTCCTCCTTGGGAATATCCTCTAGTGGGTCTCTCTCCGTGTTAGCGTTGGATCGGAGGCGCACCATCTCCCCGCGGCCGGCCGTGCGACTGACACACTCGATGTCCCCTTCATCATCACAGGACACAAAGCAGTTGTTGCAACCGTTCAGGGCCACTTTTCCCTGGAGATTCATAATGTGCGGGAATTTGTTAACAACATCCAATCATAACACATAACATGAGTCAAGGCTGCGTCTTTTTTTTTTTCAGACAAAATTTTCTGTCAGGTGCATACAAGCTGGAGCTCCCACTATACTAGTTTTGCATACCATTCAGATCAGGGTTTGCTCACCACACAAAGTACCTATTGGACAGGCAAACACCACTCGCAGCCAGAGAGAACAGTAAACGTAAAACAATTGAGAATGCCAACCCCCCCCCGCCCAAATTTTCCCCCAAGACACCATAATCATCTACCCTTGGACAATATGAACCACGGTAAAAGTAAAGTGTGGTTTTATCTCAGATCCTATCTCCTATTTTCATGAACATGTGTGATTGTCACTTTCAATTTTTTTTCCAACATCGTGAAAATTTGAAAACGATCCAAGCCTTTTTTGTAGGGATATACAAATAGTACTGTTGTACCCCAATTTCCTTCAGCGTCTTGTTTCCTGGTAGGCAGGGGACAAAGGTTTTGTGCTGTGTGCTGTGTGCTCTGTATAGGGGAACATGTTCACCCAAAGGTAATGATATAAAACAATGATCTCAAAGCTACTCACGTCTTGGAACACTGGTTCAAACTGTTCCCGTGGTCCCATGGCCTCAGAGCGACCCACAACTTTCCCATCGGACTCAACACTCAGGTATTTCCCATAGCCACTCTTAAAGGCCACTTTCGTCTCACTGACTTTGATCAAGGTGAAAATTTCCGCGGGATCCGGGCCATCACCTGATTTAAAAAATTTTACAAACCAAAAGTTAGTCTTATACTAAAAAGGATGGTGACATCACTTAGTAGAATAATAAAACAACTAAATTAAAAAACATACAAGTTGTAAGGGTCAGACTGTTTTGTTATTTTTAAACCCCAAAAATAATAAACCTCAGTGCTACTCCACTTACCAGTCAACAGCAATTTTTCTTCTACTTGATGGCCTATCTATCACTGGACCAGTCTGAAAATTTTTCCCACGACGGTCTACTAGTCTACTACAACAACACTGACCCTAACCCTGGTTCAAACCCTAACCAATTGATACAGCACAGATAGACCTTAGTCAGTCAGGTAGATCATCACGTGGACTGGCACCTAAAAGTCAGTAGCTAAATACATATAGCGAAAATTGTTGAAATATTGTGTTCTTAATCTAAGACTAAGCTATCTCGTACTGTACTAGCAAAAGTGTTCACATTTAATCTCCGTGAGAAATAAATGTAAGTAAAATAATCAGTAAGTGGGAATCAGTGGAAGCATCTGGGCCCCTCGAATGCCCAAAGTACAATACGTAAATTAAGCTCTAGAAGGTAGCATAAAAGAAAGTTGAACTGAATCTGAATACATGGCATCTGCATTCTGTCTGTGGCACGCATGCTGAGAACCACCAACAGGAAAAGTCTGTTCACAAATGACAAACTTGACTTTTGTAGAAGAATCTACAGTCTAGTACTCACACAACGAATATGCACATTGCGAAACATGCATATATAGCAAAAAGATATTCAGGTCCATAATTGTTTTCTTATAGCCTATATGTATCTTTTAAACATGTAGGCCTACATAGCCAAATTCGGACATACCGAAAAAATTTCCGTTTTACGCCCCTTTCGCTATATGATTGATAGACAGTTATACCTTCATCTCGTGGGGTCCCGACTGCAATCCCTCCATTGTCAAGAGCTGTTATGTAGCAGTTGTCACCGACCTCTATTGCGACATTTGATGGTATTTCTGAGAACTTCTTCACCTCCCACCAACCTCCTGTAGAAAAGAAACAAAAATTTTGAGGTACAAAGATAACCTGTCAGAGAATCTTCATCAATCTCTGTTACTGCAAAAGAAGAATTATAAAGAAGAATAGAAATATACACATTCCAAAGAACACTTAATAAAAAAAGACATTTATAAAATTGGATTCTGGTGATGACAAATCATACTGCCTCAAAGTTGCCTCAACCAAACCTCACATTGTAGGCTACTGAAACTGACAATATATTTTTTTAATTTTTTTTTTTTGGGGGGGGGGGGGGGGGGGGGGGGGGTCAAATGTTGAGTTGAAAAAGAACACACACAAAAAATTCCAACAAACTTTGCACCATACAAAAGGAGCAATGCTTAGAGAAAAGATCAAAAGTAGCAATTTTAGAAACTCACTTCAACTATTTCCAACATCCACTACAATGCTTTATAATCACACTGCTAGGAAAAGAAAAAGTTAAAAATTTGTTCACAAAAGCCATGCCCAACTGTAGATTTATAAGTCTAAGCTAGATAGAAATTTTTACTGATATACACTCATAGCAGCTGTCTCAAAATAAAAAAACTATCTATTCTATGTAAGTGAGAATATCCAAAATCTTCTTACCATGCTTTTGAATGTCTAACTTGTGATCCGACTTTTGCTCCACAGGTTCTCCATCATGCTTCCTCTTGTGACTCTTGTGCTTTTTTGACCTTTTATGAAAAGGGGATGAAAACATTTCATTTGATTTCAAAGCCTCAGGCACACACATAATGAATAATTATCTATGATCATAAACCTTAAAAACCAAATCTTGTTATATATAAATCTTAGTGTGGACAAGACCTGAATCAATGAGCAGACTTCATGTAATATAATTTAGTTTACACAAAATCATGAACCGAAACACATAAAATTTTATAAAATAGATGTGCGTGTGGGTGTTGGCGACCAAGCTGCAGCAAAGGAACTACAGTGCAGTCTCTCTCTATAATGACAAAGTCGGGACCAGAAAAAAATGTCGATATGTAGAGGAAGTCTTTTATTACTAATGATATATATAAAGAAAAAATCGGGACCCGGGCACCATGTTGCTATGCAGAGGATGTCGCTATATCGAAGGTCGTTATAGAGAAGCTGCACTGAATGACAATGTAACCTCCCGCCTCCAGCATGCTTTGCTGACAGTTTGAAGTTACTGTATGAGACAAGACAAGGGAGGAATACAGAGATTCCAGATTAGGGTTTTCAAAACGGCCTTTGGATGAGGAATGATTTATTAACTTAACTCTCTTCTCTAATGATTCAGTAAATGTTTATTTCACTCCTGCATGCAGATGCAATGCTTTAGAAAAATAAATATTTAATAGTAGGGCAAATCATTGTTTTTCATGAGAATTTAAAACCCAATTGCAAAACATCTAATTTTGGGAGAATGCTCCTCTGAAATACCCTCAGATTTTTTTAAAGATGGGAAATATTACATTTTCCCCCCAGTTTCAATAGAAGGCCTAGTGTAATATTGAACATTAGAATACAAATATATATCTCAAAACCTAATGATTAGTTAAAGAATAACATTGAAATCTGTGTTAAAAAATAATAAAAATGAACATGAGAAAAGTGCTAGGCCTACATAATAATACAATGGTGTCCGCTCAACAGCAACCCAGATAAGAGCAACCTGTGCCTAATATCAAACTCACTTATTTTTCAACCAACAACCATTGAACAGCCTGACGATTTTGGGGTATTGAATTGTTATCCATAAAAAGATTGTGAAAGCAATCATAATTTTTTTAATGCAACAAGAAAAGAAAAACGCTCTCAGAGAAAAAGAAAACTGCATCTAATTTGTCCAAACAGTTTTTATTTTATTAATATAAACATATTATTTAAAATGGCAATGTCTGGGAGTAACACAATTTTTTTAGAAAACTGTCCAGCATAATATAATAAGCAGCACCAGATGTCCAATATTATTTCTATGCATGTGTGACAGAACGTTTTCAGAGTAACTCAGAAACCACATTCAAGAAGTGAATTTTAACTTAATAATATAATAAAAGTATGTTGAGCTTGGTGCCTAAGCATGAAATTGAAACCCAGTAGGAGTAGGCCTACATGATACATTTTGTAAACAGTGCGACAGTGCATCCTGTTGCTGTAGTTCTGTCTGAAGTCTACACTGAGATACTCTGTCCTTTTCTCACCTTTGTATTGTTACACCTGAAACTAATCATATTTCAACTTAAGGCTGCTACTATTCTCACAACTAAAACTACTAAATTTGTATGTCACTTGGACCAGACTTGGAAGAAAAAGAAAGCTATTCGGATTCCTACTTTCACTTTCATCCAACTCCGAACTCCAGCTGTTCATCGACTGAACTAAAAAAAAGTTGAACTACAGCCCTATCCATAGATCTAGCAGCTTCTGTGGGACATTGTGGAAGCTTTAGCCTTTTAACTCACTATCAGACCCTTGAAACACATCAAACATGTTTATTTTTATGTCTCTGAGAGGCGATCTCCACTCTAAAAACAGCTGCGAATTTGTTTCCGCTCACAGAGCTTTTACCGCATTTTGACTTAGTTCGTCACAGTTCAAAAAGTATTAGTATTACACATAATTTTACCAAATTTTAAAAGAAACGAAACAATAGGGTTAACTGTTGGCTCACCACTTCCTGTAGCTTGTACAAAAAAAGCAAGAGATATTGATTGCCAAAGCGCATCCCGTAAATACATGGGATTCGACCAATCGGCCACCGGCGCATCCCGTAAATACAAGAATACGCTATTTAAGTGAGTTACGTTTTTGAGACAGAAATTATCTATACAAACTCCTTTAACAGCAACCTGAAAGCAGTCTATAAATTGTCTCAAAAATGTTTTGACGATTAAAATAAAAACTACATGCCATGCAACACTAGCTTTATCAGTGTACATGCATCATTCCTTTCTAGTGTGTGTGGAGAACTCACAACACTTCGAACCCAAAAAATACACTACACCAATATACAGGAGCTCAGTTAACACCTTCTTGCCAAGATAGAACCACCTCCCTTTGTCTGTGCATCACTTCACTTGAAAGGACATGTAAGCACACCACAATGACAACACTGCCTTTATTTATATATGGTCTCATTTTCCACATGGAAGTGGCTATTCTCATCCGGGGTGAGAATAGAAAAACGATCTACCTCTCACCCCGGGTGAGACTTGCCAGCGTAGGCTATTCTCACCCGGTGCGAAACAAGACCTGCTTTTCCTCATTTTGGAATACTGTCTATCGGTGTGGATGATCAAATTGATAAAAGCCAAGAAAAAATTACGTTATAGCACAAAAGTAAGCTAATTTGATCGTCTTCAAAGATGCTATGGCTATTTCACTGTTCGAATCGAGCCGAACCACACGGGTCGCCATTTTGTTTTGCCCGGAAGTTCTCGCAAGATCTACTCCTCCCCTCTCTCTCTGTCTCTTTCTGAATACTGTCTATCGGTGTGGACGATCAAATTGACCAAAACAAAGTTTAAAAAATGATGTTAAAACACAAAAGTAAATTAATTTGGTTGTCTACAAAGATGCTACGGCTATTTAACTTTTCGAATCGAGCAGAACTACGCGGGTCGCCATTTTGTTTTGACCGGAAGTTCTCACGCTACTCCTCTCTCTGTCTCTTTCTCTCTCTCCACTGCCCACATACAAAATTGTACGCTTTTAGTAGGCTACTAATGGAACGTTTGTTCACAGCACAGAATTCTACAATTTTTCTGTTATCACAGTGTAGAATTCTGTGGTTTAGGGTGAACGCAAAATTTGTTGGCCTAGATCTAGGCTATAACAGTGAACGCGCACCGGGTGAGAATAGCCAAAAGACTAGCCTGCACTATTCTCATCCCGGGTGAGAATAGAGGTGGCCTTTCCACATAGATCTGACAACATCTCCATATCTTAAGATTAACGAAGTAGGACCTTTTAACGTGTGCAAACGTGCATATGTGTGTGAGTGTACGAGAGTGTGTGTGTGTGTGTGTGTGTTGTGAGGAGAGGGAAGGGTGCAGGTTGTAACCCTTTTGATACAAAGAGTCAAGACCACCGAACCTGAGCATGAGTATATGAGACCTCAGGGCTCAGTGAAAGTAAAATAATAACAATGATTTTAAATAGTGAAATCATCCATGAATATAGATTCTAGATCTAAAAATCTAGATCTAGATTCTGTATAGATCTACCATGCCATAACATATCTAACGTACATTACATTATGATTTATAGGCTATAAGATATGATTTCAATTTGAAACAATCAGAAGTCAGAATCAATCTGATCAGATTCTGAACCATCATACTTTTTCAGCTTGAGTCCTTTCAATTTCAGCTTTCCACCTTTAACAGCAGCATAGTCAGCCATTGTAAATAAAGTTTAAGTATGGTTATTATCCTAAAATAATGACCACAGTTTAGATCTAATTGAAAATGATCACAGAATGTTCGTTCTACAAACGTTACACACACAACGTTGTCGTGTTGAGCAAAGCGGTGTGTTATTATTTTGCACGGATCGATTATAATGTCTGCTTCCGTCTGTATTTGCCAATTGGTCCAAAGCAAATTTACTCGTTTAGTAAAAAAGAATAAGTCAAATGAAATAAATATGAGTTGTAAATCAATCAAAAGTAGTATTTCATTACTTTTTAATCCTTTCCTTTAAAATATCACGCAACTATGTGATGGCCTGGAAAGGTATGATCAGTATGTTAATACTCAGTCTTTGGCGAATAACATATCGAAAATATGGCCAACTTATTCAGCTGACTGCTTCAATGAACCTTTGTGGAGAGTATTTTTGTAGGTTTGTCTAGTGTCTGCTAGGTTAGCCGACCCTGGGCTGAGAGGGAGACAAGAGATTTCATGACGGATCGTCTGTGTGTAGACTTTCTTCAACTCTTTGCAGTCACTGAGAAAGGTAAAGAAGTTCTTATGTTCCTGACATTTTTCAGCCCCACCTAGAAAAGAGTTTTGATATCCAGATTAGGATAGATCTAGACTAGATTCTAGATCTAGATCTAGATCTAGATTCTAGTATGTTAACCTACCAGGGTCGAGACACGACAAGAAACCAGCAGTTGGGACAGTTGGGTTGTTTCTGTAGTTGCCTTATTTTGAGAGGGGGGGGGGGGGTTCTTTCTATATAATCATTGTTTGGTAGAGGGTTTTATAACTGAGCTTTGATCTAGATGCCTAATCATTTGTTATGAGTGAAATCGAACGGAGAAATAAATAGTTTTCCTATAAGATCGCGACACTGTTGTGGAGCACTGTCTCTTTTTACGATCGTATGATTGAGGAGTGTGAGACTTCGTTAGCTGGTGGCTTTCATTTAGCGGCCGTAGGAACTAGATCTAGTAGATCTAGAGCCCTTTTGTTGAAACACAATCCGTGCATAGTTGAACTAGATCTAGGCCTAGGTGCCTTGGAACCAAAGAGAATACCATAATATGTGTGAATAGACAATAGCCTCACCTACCTATATTTTTGCTTCTACATTGTTTCATACATGCACTCTATCAAACTCATTTTTACCTTTATGTTTGTAATTGAATCCTTCCAAATATGTACATATAATATACTCTGACCCTTTTATGAACTTGTTGGATATGCAATGGGATGAGATCAGGTTGTTTGTTTTCTGGG